TATATTTAAACTCAGTTTTATGAGCTTTTATTTCTTTCATCACATTCCCAGTGGGTCAGACGTTTACATACACTCAATTAGTATTTGGTAGCATTGCCTTTAAATTATTTAACTAGGGTCAAACGTTTCGGGTAGCCTTCCACAAGCTTCCCACAATAAGTTGGGTGAATTTTGGTCCATTCCTCCTGGCAGAGCTGGTGTAACTGAGTCAGGTTTGTAGGCCTCCTTGCTCGCACGCGGTTTTTCAGGTCAGGGCTTTGTGATGGCCACTCCAATACCTTGACTTTGTTGTCCTTAAGCCATTTTGCCACAACTTTGGAAGTATGCTTGGGGTCATTGTCCATTTGGAAGACCTATTTGCAACCAAGCTTTAACTTCCTGACTGATGTCTTGAGATGTTGCTTCAATATATCCACATAATGTTCCTTCCTCATGATGCCATCTATTTTGTGAAGTGCACCAGTCCCTCCTGCAGCAAAGCACCCCCACAGCATGATGCTGCCACCCCTGTGCTTCACGGTTGGGATGGTGTTCTTCGGCTTGCAAGGTCCCCCTTTTTCCTCCAAACATAATGATGGTCATTATTGCCAAACAGTTCTATTTTTGTTTCATCAGACCAGAGGACATTTCTCCAAAAAGTACGATCTTTGTCCCCATGTTCAGTTGCAAACCGTAGTCTGGCTTTTTTATGGCGGTTTTGGAGCAGTGGCTTCTTCCTTGCTGAGCGGCCTTTCAGGTTATGTCGATATAGGACTCGTTTTACTGTGGACATAGCTACTTGTGTACCTGTTTCCTCCAGCATCTTCACAAGGTCCTTTGCTGTTGTTCTGGGATTGATTTCCACTTTTCGCACCAAAGTACGTTCATCTCTAGGAGGCAGAACGCGTCTCCTTCCTGAGCGGTATGACAGCTTCATGGTCCCATGGTGTTTATACTTGCATACTATTGTTTGTACAGATGAATGTGGTACTTTCAGGCGTTTGGAAATTGCTCCCAAGGATGAACCAGACTTGTGGAGGTCTACACATTTTTTTCTGAGGTCTTGGCTGATTTCTTTTGATTTTCCCATGATGTCAAGCAAAGTGGCACTGAGTTTGAAGGTTGCCTTGAAATACATCCACAGGTACACCTCCAATTGACTCAAATGATGTCAATTAGCCTATCAAAAGCTTCTAAAGCCATGACATAATTTTCTGGAATTTACCAAGCTGTCTAAAGGCACAGTCTACTTAGTGTATGTAAACTTCTGATCCACTGGAATTGTGATATAGTGAATTATAAGTGAAATAATCTGTCTGTAAACAATTATTGGAAAAATGACTTGTGTAATGCACAAAGTAGATGTCCTAACCAACATGCCAAAACTATAGTTTGTTAACAATGGAATTTGTGGAGTGATTAAAAAACGAGTCTTAATGACTCCAATCTAAGTGTATGTAAACTTCCGACTTCAACAGTATATACATCATGAAGCTAACCAGTTGAGCTAGCAAACAATGTAAGAAAATTATAATTTCGGATTGGAATAATACTCCATTAACAGGCTCTGCATTTCAGGAATCACAGTGGCAAGTACCCCTGGTGCACTATTCAATTATTTAGCCAAATAAACAATACACATTTTAAGAAAAGTCAAAAAATGTCCCACTGCCCTCAGTGGCTTTCATGCCTTTCAAATGTGAGCTTGTCCGAACAGTGTGTCAGACTCGACAGTTGCTATCCAGTGGAGCGCTGTGATTGGTTGCCCAAAATTCCGGGATGGGGCTTACCGAAGGGTCAATTGATTTAGCTGCTCGAGAAGGCAAGATAACTCTTCTCAAACACAGCGCAATAGCATGTCAAAGAAGGGAAACACAACATCAAAAAGGACACTTTGTTTTAATACAACCAAGTGACTTTGTTGCTATGCTCATCAAAGCCAACCTGGACTCAGGGGTAGACGTAAATTAGTAAATAAAAGTATATCCGGAACATTCCAATTAGTATGATGTGTTACGTTTCGTATGGTATGTATTAATTTGTGGATGTCCATCATCCATTTCGTATGATATGTTACGAATGAAAATGTGTATGATATATGTTAAGAATTGCAATTCGTACAATATGTCACAAATTGCAATTCGTACAATATGTTATGAATTTCAAAATGTATGATATGTTACGAATTCCAATTTATTGTGGCTAACATTAACTAGGTGGCTAGGTGGCTAATGTTAGCTAGCGGTTAGGGGTTAAGGTTAGGGTTAAGGTTAGGGTTAGGAGTTATGTTAAAGAGTTATGTTTAGGGTTAGGAGAAGGGTTAGCAAAGTATCTCAAAAGTAGTAAGTAGTAGCAAAATTGCTAATAAGCTAAAATGCTAAAGTTTTCTGTGATGAGATTCGAACACACAACCTTTAGGTTGCTAGACGTTCGCGTTATATATATTTTGCCTTAAGTAACCTTCTGTCTTATATAACCATACCAAACATAACTTATCATACTAATTTACGTTTACTATGTTACGTCTAGTCTATGAGACCAAACTGTCAAAGCGCTCAACACACTCCTTGCTTTGATGGGAGGGCATGGAATTAGCATTAATTATGTGTGCGAACACGTTTTAAGTGGGCCGGATTTTGATTAAACCAATTTTCGCCATTGTGGCTGGATGATGCATTGTGACATTAGTGTAGATGGTTTAGGTTATGCCTATTTATGAGTTAATTTGAGCCCTTAAAGGTCCTGAACAGTCATTCTGAAAAGTACTTTTTCTCTCATGGCTAACTACCAGGAAGTTTGAAAAGACAGGGCGGGGAGCTTATATTCATGAGCTTGCCTTGACTGACAGCTCTGTGAAATGCCTATGTCAAGCAACTTGGATGCACTGAGCAGTGTTGCAGTAAATTAATCTCAAGCAAATTTAGTGATACACAAAGCAACTCAAACATTTAAATTGCATCAATGATATACCTTTATTTATTTATATATTTAAAGTCTCCTGTAGCTCAGTTGGTAGAGCATGGCGCTTGCAACGCCAGGGTTGTGGGTTTGTTTCCCACGGGGGGCCAGTATGAAAAATGTATGCACTCACTAACTGTAAGTCGCTCTGGATAAGAGCGTCTGCTAAATATGTAAAATATACATCTCCCGTTTGGTATGTCTCTTGTGATGCGGTGTCAGAGTTTTGAACGACCCTTCCCCCCTTCTGTTCCATGCTAGCTGAAGACCTAGCTAGCCTGTAACTAGCTAACACCAGACACAGATGAAAGGGGAAACATATAGGATCTTTGCCATAGACGAATAGGGTAAACTTTTTATTATATTTTCTGACACCCTACAGTCACATTTTGGCACCAGTTGAGTAGCTATCTAGCTATCTAGCTGTATAAACCACACCCCTCTGCAAACACACCTTCTCCAATGTTGTTTACAAGGTGGTACTTATTTAAATTAGGTAAGAGAATACCATGCTACCATTGTTGTGTTAAAATTAGAGTTAAGGTGATGTCACATTGTCCCCTTAATAATGAATCGAAGTGTTTGACATGGGGGAGGGGACAAGTAACTTTATGATCAAATTTGATCAATATAGAAGCAACAGTCATTTTCATACTTTGGTCATCATACTTTGATCTGGTTTCCTTCAAATATCATCCAATGTCATGAAAAACATGATTTTGACTGTTCATATCCTTTAACTCCAATGTCTCTTCTCCTTATAATAGGCTACATTATAATAGCTTTACGATCCTCGCAAATGTTGCTGTAACTACAGCCACAAATGCTCGTATGTAGCCTATTATCTGTGTATATCGTTGAATAAAATGAAAGAAAAACGTATTTGTAACTGTTTAACAATGGTGGGAATTCTTACATCAATCTATGCCAATTCCAAATAACATACCCTGCTTAGTCTAACAAATATTAATAGACTACTTAGGCTACTTCGTTAGCCTATTCTAATCATATGTCTCGGCTATATAATAGGCATGTGCCACATTTTTTAATGAAGTATCATAAACATAGGCCTAGTATTACGTTGTATGCCCTTTAAGCCCTACGCCCTATTATACAGGCTGTTATACACTGAGTATACACAATCCACAATCCATGTCTCAATTGTCTCAAGGCTTAAAAATCCTTCCTTAACCTGTCTCCTCCCCTTCATCTATACTGATTGTAGTGGATGTAACAAGTGACATCAATAAGGGATCGTAGCTTTCACCTGGATTCACCTGGTCAGTCATGGAAAGAGCAGGTGTTCTTAAAGTTTTGTATACTCAGTGTATAAAGATTATAATATATGACCTAAATTCAAAGCACACAGTAAATATCTATTTCAATCATCCACGTTTTTCCCCGATAATAATTTGCCCAACTGAAACCACTTGCTTGCTTTAATCTTGTCCTCACCCAAAGAGCTATCCAATGCGGTGGTGCTGAAACAGCGTCTACACTCCCGTGACGTGCGCTGCACAAATGCGTCACCACAGTGGGGGGGGGGGGGGGGGGGGGGCATGTAACAGATACACTTGAAGACAATTGGCAATCTAAGGTACTGAAATGAAGTCGTGCCATTATCTTACACATCTCAAAGACCTACAATATACTGCAATGCTGGCATGATTTGTCACACATAGGCTAATAGTCAATCCCCATTCAAGTAGTGTGGTCTCTAAAAGACTAGTGCCTATATTAGCTCTTGCATTTTCCTTACACAATAACAACAACAAATCATAGAGATAACGCAGTAATAACATAATCATTAAGTTTGGGCGTGCTTCAGATGATGGTCTACTTAGCTGATGTAGGCTATGCGTTAGACTCTGCACAGACATGTTTGGTGCACATACATTACTATTATAGTAACCTAGTATTAATTATTATACTCCTGCTAGCTTGAATAAAAAAATTGAGGGATATTTTTAGATATAACTTTCCCCTCTGACGCTCCTTCTCCCCGCCTGTCTCTCTCCGGACTCGAGCATAGACTCTATCCCAGCTATAGACTCGTTGACGTCAGAGAGCCTTTGTAATTTGACGTGTAAACATTCTCGTCCCCTTCCACTGTTTACCCTCCGCTTGCTTTCCTTGATGGTTCAATAAGGCAATAACGCAGTGAGAGGTCCTCTCTTTCCCACCCAGCACTTTGAAGGAAAAAAGACACGAACTAAGTGGAACCAACAGAAATTGATTTATTTAATATTACTTACATTTTCGATTTGAATTGTTGTCTTGCATGCTTTCTAAGAGCATCAATCTAGTCGTATTTTCTCTGAGATGGAAATGAGATGTCGCCCAACAACCGTAATGTGGTGTGCTTTTGCCGTTCTCTTCTCCATCGCTCGTTCCGTGGATGCTTCATTCGGGGACAGACAGTATCTCAACGAATGGGCGGTGGAGATTCCAGGAGGACCGGACGCCGCCAGGTCCATCGCCAAAGAACTGGACTACAGACTAGTCCGCCAGGTAGGTTAGCGCCACAGTAACGCCCCGAGACCACGTTTATCCTCGAGTAGTATTGGAACTGTGTACTTCTCTCTTTACACTATCTTTCTGTGTTAGATTTGGCTCAGGGGATGTCCTTGTCTCGGTATCAGTAGCCTATTCAGCTTTGTTTTTTAAATTATTCATTTGGTTGTATAATACATAGCTGTTGAAAGCTGATGGAGGGCGCCACGGCAGCCTTGTTGCTGATGTTGTAGCCTACACAGCATCCTTACTGAACTTCTGCTTCAGCCAAGATTTAAAACACAACAACTATAGTGATTGGTGTATTCTGTCAATCATCTTCATAATTCTGGTCAGAGTGAGCAGGGAAATTCAATTGTGTAACCTATGAAATTTCCATTATTGGCTTTTTTACTTTATAATAAGTGAATTGATATCATCAATCAAAAACAAATAATTTAGTCTATCAGTATATTTGGGCAAAAGATGGGGATCCAATCCATATTTTAAGACTTGTTCCTTTAAACAAGTTCATTTTGTACTGTATACAATAGTCCCCTTCTGTAAATATGTCTATCCTCAATGTTGTAATTGTCTACCCTGTCCAGAACAATAGGCCTATACACCCCCTGATGAGCTCTCTATAGTCTACTCAGAGGAACCTAGCTCTCTGACTACACAGGTCAACAACCTGTGTTTCCATTCAGTCAAAGGGATGGGTATGATGCCATATCAGCATCATCAATATAATAGGCCTGAACTGTGGCTTAGAATAACATATAGGTTAGGCCTAAATTATTTATGCAATTTCAGTTCTTTTCTTTTCCCCCTTTTTTTTTTACACAGAAAATCAGGTGTTTCTATGTCCAACGGTTTTGTTATATTTCAGTCTTCTGTGATGTATATAAAGTGTAATATTGGGATGCAAACTCAAAATTGAATACATTTCAACTCTATATTTGACATGGTACCTGTGGCTTCTTTTTTTTAAGCCCATAACCATTTGTGTGAGGTATATACTTTTCTTTCAAAGTAGATCTGTTTAAGAATACCAAGAAACACTCTGTGTGACCCTGATTTAAAAGGTTTTTAAAAATTACTGTATTATCTGTGATTGATTCATTATTTGCAAATTTGCACAATTTGTGTGATATTGTGACAAACACCTGTATATTCAGTGGGTTCAGCTATGTTAACCTTGCTTTCTCAGGAAATTGCTGAACAAGGCCTGCTGTAAATACAGTCAGGTCCAATATTATTTGCACCCTTTATAAAGATGAGCAAAAAAGACTGTATAAAATATATAATACAAATACTGATCTATATTGTATTTTTAAAAAAGTGAAAATTATATTATTGTATACTAATACAATTGCTCAGAGAAAGAGATTTTGTTTAACGAGTAATTTAAAAAAATCTCCAAAAGATTATTGGCAACCATATTTTCAATACTCCAGCACAATCTCCTTGCGGGGATAACAACACTGAGCCTTTTTCTAAAAGGTTTTATGAGATTGGAGAACACATTGGGAGGGATCTTAGACCATTCCTCCATACAGAATCTTTCCAGATCCTTGATATCCTTAATATGCTCACAGGTTTTCAATGAGGTTCAAGTCCGGAGACTGAAATGGCCATTGCAAAATGTTGCGGTCAATTAACCATTTTTGTGGATTTTAATGTGTGCTTGAGGTTATTGTCTTACTGGAAAATCCACTTTCCGGCCAAGTTTCAGCCTCTTGGCAGAAGCAACCAGGGTTTTGGCTAAATGTCCTGGTGCTTGGTAAAGTTCATCATGCCAAGTAAAGTGCCAATGTTGTTTAGAAAACTCCAGCTGACATGGTCAGCTGACATGAAAATAAAGCTCTTTGGCCACGCACACCAGAAAACATAAGCATATGCAGAAAAGTACCTCATACCTTCTGTCAAATATGGATCTTTGATGTTATGGGTCTATTTTGCTTCCACTGGTCCTGGGGCCCTTGTTAAGGTCACCAGCGTCATGAACTTCACCAAGTACCAGGACATTTTAGCCAAAAACCTGGTTGCCATTTTCTTTTGCATACAATATTATGTAGCTCAATATTTGGATTATTTATTTTATACAGTCTGTTTTGCTCATTTTATCAAGGGTGCCAATAATTTTGGACCCGACTGTATAAGTAATAAGGAAACTGGCATGCCTATTGCTGTTGTGGTGGTATCTGCCTTCCAGTCACATAAATATAATAATATAATATTAACATCTTCTACCGATGTTTGAGAACGATCTAAGGTAGCCTATTGATTTAACAAGCTGTTCAATACATTCAAAGTGAGATGTCCTTACTGGTGTAATATGACCCAAGGTGCTTATATGGCGATGCCAAAGGAAAATGTCCATCCTGGATGGACAATTGGGTTATATTCTTAAATTCTATTCTATAATTAAGAATTGTTGCATTAATAATTACATTCAGTCCTATGGGGATTGACAGGAAGAGCTTAATGGTGTTACATCACTGCTATGAAATATTCAATAACCCACCACTCTCCTCGTCTGCAGATTGGGGCGCTAGAAAACCATTACTTGTTCAAACACCAGACTCATCCTAGCAGGACGAAACGAAGTGCCGATCACATCACCAAACGCCTGTCCGAGGATGATCGGGTAAATAATCCTATATCTGTAACATTGTCTATGGCTGTGTTTGAAATGGTACCCTATTTCCTATTCAGTGCTCTACTTTTGACCAAAACACTTGTGCGTGTGCATTAGCAACACAAACAAAATTACAGTATAAACATAAGTAAGGCATGGGTTCGAATCCAGCCCACTGGCCTTTGACTCTAGCCTGGGTGCCAGTCTGTTTCTCCTATCTTGCCAACTACTTATAGGATTGTCATGCCAACGACAATGCCTTGGCTTGACAACGACAACGACAATGGAGTAGACAAAAGCACAAACAGATCTGAGACCAGGCTACTTTGACTCATCCTCCCCTCTATCTTCCCATCTCTCCAACTGTATTATCGCTTGAATAAAGCTTAATAAATATGAAATGAATGGGACTGCCCCACCCCTTAAAAAAATGTTGATTGATTCTCTTATCTCGTTGGGTGTCTAGGTATCGTGGGCGGAGCAACAGTATGAGAAGCGGCGCAGTAAGCGGGCTTCGCTGGGATCATGCCGGGACTGTCCAGTGGACAAGCTGTTCGATGACCCCATGTGGAACCAGCAGTGGTACCTGGTATGTCATAAAGAGCCCTTATCTCTCTCTTATCTCTGATATGTCACCAGTTGGTGACATATCAGTTTGGATATTAAGATTGGTCTATTAAGATTGTTTTTTGGTTGTTTGGTGGTCCATGTGGTGTTTTGGTTATTTGGGTTTTCATGGTGGCTAATAGCTGATGCCACAATGTTAGAATTCAAACCCTACATACACAGCAATCAAAAATGTGTTTTCTGACCCTAGGTTGGGTGTTTATGTTATTTATGGTTATTTGGTTGTCATGGTGGCCAATAGCTGGTGCCAGAATTGAAGTCCTACATAAACTACAGATTATGTGTTTTCTGACCCGACCATCAGTTCAGATCCGGCTGGTGTCTTCTGCTGCCTTCCGTTTGGCCTGATTCACAAACACAATCCTAGACTGGTCCCAGATCTGTATGTGCTGTCTTGCCAATTTCTAATGGTCATAGTCATTAGGTATTGGCAAGACAGCACAAACAGATCTGGGACCAGGCTAACACAATCCCAGAGCCTTCTGAGATTCAGCTCTGGCAGGAATGGACAGCTCCCCAATGCTGAGTGTGTCACAGAGCGGAGACTTTGCCTTCACAACCCTTTTGGATGATGAGCTTGCAGGTCTTGTATTAGGGGGTTGAATATGTGTTGTGGGGTAGTTTATATCACAATTAGCATCTGTCAAAATGAAAGGAAAACGTTATATGTGTGAGGAATACTCTGTGTGTGTGTGTGTGTGTGTGTGTGTGTGTGTGTGTGTGTGTGTGTGTGTGTGTGTGTGTGTGTGTGTGTGTGTGTGTGTGTGTGTGTGTGTGTGTGTGTGTGTGTGTGTGTGTGTGTGTTCGTGCGTGCGTGCGCATGCGTTTCATAGCAAGAGAGGATGAGATAAATATCTTCAGCGATCATGCATGAATATGTGTGGGACACTTGAGAAATGTGAGACAATAGGTTTTTACTCTGTGATAAGCTAATTAATTAGTAATCATCCAAAATCCCAGCCGAAAGACCCATTTGTTTAATTGAACATGCTGGCCTGGTAGGAGATTGTAAGGGAACTCAACTTTCTCCAACCATAATCCAGTGGAACGGAATAGGCTGTCGCACATTAAGACCCAATTTAGCGGTTATTTTAGCCCATTCAAGCCAAGCCAGTGGATGATAGTGTCACAGCTGTGTCTTCCCTACCGGATACATTACAGACAGTACATCCACTTTGTCCTGTGTTTAGGATTAGGCTGACCCTACGGTAGTCCAATTGGACTCCTTTTATTCCATGTCATTAGTGATTGATGGATTACTTTCATAGGTTATGTTTTGATAGCTTCCAATAATAGCATTTTTGCTATTTTTGGAGAGAACAGTTTGTAAGGGTTGATTTAAAGTATTTGGTCATTTATTAAAAGCATTGGCCGTGTCCGAATATCCGTACTTGCGTCCTAAATAGTAGGCCGTTTGGGTATGCGAAAATATAACATTTTATGTGAAATGTCAAAGATTGTGTTTGTTTATGTTTAGATGCCAGGATGTCATACTAATTTCGGCTTTTTATCTAGTGCAAATTTGCTACATGCTACTGAGGAAGATAATTGTATTTTCAGACCCACGTGTGTTTGACAATAGGCCTAGCTGATAATCAGCTGAGAATTAGACAAGGGGATGGGCTGTACCAAAATGAACGAATGGCGATAAACAAAGCAATTGGCATTAAATTATGCATTTTGGGTGAGCCTAGTATTTTGATATTTGTTGCTTACTGCATATATTTTTACTAAACAGTACATTCTAAGTAGTATGATTAGTACATAGTATGTCATTTTAGTAAGACATATTTCGGACACAGCCATTGAGTCATTATTTCTAATGTCTTTATTAGTTTTCCAGTCAACACCTGTTATCTCAAAGATAGGACGTGTGTGTATGTGTGTGTGTGTGTGATTGTCTAAGTTTACATGCGTCAGTGTGTGTATTTTATCTGCTCTTTCCATTTTCCCTGAACTTGATGATCTGAGTCATTCACTACAGGAAATAAGAAAATAAATCGAGATGGACCCTTTTTACCTATCTGGCCTGATGATCCTAATTGAATTGGTCATGAAGTGCTCATTTACTATATGTCAGTAAACGGGCATGGCTGACAAACACCTACACCCGCCCACTCACTTGTGACAGCACTCTGATTGGCCTAGGGTGGCCCTAGGGACTGTCAGTCAGGGACATCAAATAGGCAAGAAGCAACAAGAGATCAAGTATGTCAATGTTTTATTTCTTACATTTCTGCTATGACGGCTTTGTCTTTAGCCTCTACTTGACTATAGATAGGTAGATATAGAGAAAGAAAGAAAGAAAGAAAGAAAGAAAGAAAGAAAGAAAGAAAGAAAGAAAGAAAGAAAGAAAGAAAGAAAGAAAGAAAGAAAGAAAGAAAGAAAGAAAGAAAGAAAGAAAGAAAGAAAGAAAGAAAACAGTAGTAATAGCCAAGAAAATAGAGATGTGAGGGAGGGGTGTGTGGGAGGTCATAAAAGGAGGGATAGAGGAAGAGAGATAAAGCTAATGAGGGATAGCAGCAATGAGACGGTAGTTGAAGGGAGGATAGAGTGATAGTGAGAGGAAAGGAGGGAAAAAGGAGTACGTAGAGAGGTAGAGGGATGGAGGGAGGGATGAAGAAGAGGATGTGGACAGAGGTATGGAGGAACTGATGGATAGCAGAAATGAAGGGAGGTTGGAGTTAGGGGCAGAAGGCAGTGAGGGAGAAAGACTAAATTGATAGAGGGGGGGATGGAGAGAGTGATGTGGAGATAGGAAAGACGGAGGTAGAGATAGAGACTGCGTGTAGGGAGAGTGTCTCTTTGTCTCCTAGGAGTGTGTGACTGCCTGATAAAGGAATCAAAGGAGTGACTCATAATAGATTGAGATTCCTCCCTCCGTCATGGGATGTGTGTGTGTGTGTGTGTGTGTGTGTGTGTGTGTGTGTGTTTGTGTGTGTGCGTGCATGTGTGTCATGCGTGCGTGCATGCTGATCTCAGGTCTCAGTTTGTGCACGTAAGCGTGTGGATGCTGATGTGTTGGTTTACCGCAAGTGTCCATTCTGAATGTATATTTGTGCGTGCGAGCTGGGCTATTTGGAGACCACAGGTTATGTGCCAGTCAATAGATGAGTCATCCAATAAGATACCAAGACAGAGGAGCTACAGAAGAGGAGCTACAGAAGAGGAGCTACAGAAGAGGAGCTACAGAAGAGGAGCTACAGAAGAGGAACTACAAAAGAGGAACTACAAAAGAGGAACTACAGAAGAGGAACTACAGAAGAGAAACTACAAAAGAGGAGCTACAGAAGAGGCACTACAGAAGAGAAGCTACAGAAGAGGAGCTACACAAGAGGAGCTACAGAAGAGGAACTACAGAAGAGGAGCTACACAAGAGGAGCTACAGAAGAGGAGCTACAGAAGAGGAACTACAGAAGAGGAGCTACAGAAGAGGACGACAGAAGAGGAGCTACAGAAGAGGAGCTACAGAAGAGGAACTACAGAAGAGGAGCTACAGAAGAGGAGCTACAGAAGAGGAACTACAGAAGAGGAGCTACAGAAGAGGAACTACAGAAGAGGAGCTACAGAAGAGGAACTACAGAAGAGGAACTACAAAAGAGGAACTACAGAAGAGGAGCTACAGAAGAGGAGCTACAGAAGAGGAACTACAGAAGAGGAGCTACAGAAGAGGAGCTACAGAAGAGGAGCTACAGAAGAGGAACTACAGAAGCTTGAGTTCTGATATCTCCGATATTCTACCACATTCATACGTTTTGGTAATTTGATAGGATATCTACAATGGGGAAATGTCATATATTTCACTGTTTTGTCAACCGTCCCTGTTGTAGAAACGTATGGTGTGGCATCTGTGTGGATGGATGAATAGGATGGTTTTAAAGATAATTCAAAACAGAGACGGTCTCCCACAACCACCCCCATCCCTTCACTTCCTCCAGTAGCCAGAGAGAAACAGAGAAAGGGGGAGCTGAAGAGGAGAGAGAGAGGGTAGATCGGTGAGAGAGGAGAAATGGGAAAGAAACGGAGCAAGAGGGAGAAACAGAAAGACAGGGTCCAAAAGAGAGAGCAAGAAGAAGGAGAGGCGGGGGAGAGAGGGAGCAAGAGAGAAGATAAAAAGAGGGAGAGAGAGAAAGGAGAAGAGGAGAAAAGGAGAAAGGGAGCAGAAAGAGGGAACAAGAGATGAAAAAGAGGAAAGGAGTAAAGGATAAAAGAGAGAGAGAGAGGGTGGTGTTCCGCAGTGTCTTTGCATAATGTGGGAGCAGAGCAGCTCCAAAATGTTCCTAGTCTTTTTTTGTCCTGTCTCCTGCTCTGAATCATCACATCTGCCCTCAGGGAGGACTGCTGCTAGCACGGCACTGCTGCACTCTTTCTACCCACTGATTAGCCAATTAACACTAGTTGGGCACCCCACACATATACACACACATTACATGCATTAAAGGGACCACTGATTATTAGATAGAGGCTTGGTAGAGGTGATAGAGGCCTTGCACTATGACACATAATCATGACATATTATCATTTTATTACACATCGCAAGATTCGCAACCGTAGCACGGTCTTCAGTGAACCACTTATATAAATAATTTTGTTCTGGGCTGAAATATTAGCCTGAACACTCTACATAACAAGGTTTTCTTATGCCTACCGTAAGTGGTCAAGAGAGCCAGGACAAAGAAAGCAACAAGTTGATAATTAATTGATAAAGGTCAATGTGGGACATGACTGTCTCCATTAGCGAAGATGGAGCTAGCGTAGCCAGACGGCCATCTTAGGTTGACCTTTCTCCATTATTTTCATGATATTTGATTTTCACAGATGCAATTTAGGTGAGGTACCTCATTCCTTAAATGGTAAAATGCACTTTTTTCCAGTTTCAGTGACTCTGTCAACAAAAACATATAGTATAGGTGTGCTACTTCCTGTGCGTAAATCCAGTGCCAATGTCATGCATATGTCAATGAGCTTATAAGCTCTATGAACACTGTATGTATGCTTTATGAATAGGGTTCTATAGTTCAACAAATGTAATGAAAACCACTCTCTCTCCTTCTCTTCCAGCTTATATGACCTCAATGTATGCTTTAATGCTATATGTACTGTATACATGATTTAATTACAAATAACTAAAACTACTCTCTTTCCTCCTCCTCCTCCTCCTCCTCCTCCTCCTCCTCCTCCTCCTCCTCCCCTGTGTCGGCCATCCCAGCAAGACACTCGGACGTCATCCTCCCTGCCCAAGCTGGACCTCCACGTGATTCCCGTGTGGAAGAAAGGGATCACAGGGAAAGGAGTGGTCATCACCGTGCTGGACGACGGTCTGGAGTGGAACCACACCGACATCTACCCCAACTACGTAAGACCACATTTCCATGGCAACAGGCATCACTAAGGGAGAGCGTTCCCATAGCAACATTGGTGACACTTACACAGCCATTCATGAAGCACTAATAAGCAGTAATAAATTGCAGTATGATAGGTGGTGATGACGGTTGGAAGCATGCAGAGACTATAGAACTGGAAATCAATAATAGGTGGAATTATTATGGTCCTGGATTATTTTGTAGTGGTTGTGTTGACAGGGACTACAGTATAGTTGGCTTGAAAAGCACAAAGTTGTCTTTAGCATTTATCAAGGTTTTTTCCTTAGGCTAAAGTTCGTAGTGAAGAAGTCTTAGCTAGTGACTAGTGTTTGCACATTTTGTAATTGTTTCTGTTCAAGCTGCAAATAATCAACATTTAGACCGTCATGCCTCATTGCAGGTGAGACGAAGGTTTTAAACAATTTTTGGTCAGCTAGTTTTTAATAATGAACCAAAGCTTGTCAGACAGTCATGTTGGCACATTTCTCAAATCTTGAGATGAGAGGAAATCTGAATGGATTAGAAAAATCACATCTGCGTTTTGAAGGCAAACAGTTATTTCTCTATGAGACACCAGGCATTCGGAGACAGCTATAGGGTCTTTCTAGAGAGAGAGAGAGAGAGAGAGAGAGAGAGAGAGAGAGAGAGAGAGAGAGAGAGAGAGAGAGAGAGAGAGAGAGAGAGAGAGAGGAGAGAGAGAGAGAGAGAGAGAGAGAGAGAGAGAGAGAGAGAGAGAGAGAGAGAGAGAGAGAGAGAGAGAGGAGAGAGAGAGAGAGAGAGAGAGAGAATAACAACAAGGCTGATAGAATGGACTCTGACTATAATTAGCACGACTGTGATTAATCAAAGGGACTTAATCAAGCGAGACGCTCATCCATCCTCACTCAAACAAAAGTAGGTAGGTAGGTTTGGGGAAGATGGATGGGCGTATACCTCAAACCGACTAGCGATCCAAAGGTTGCGTGTTCGAGTCGTGTAAGGGACAACTATGCATTTTAGGTAACCCTTCCCCTAAACCTTTTCTTAACCTTAACCTAATTCTCCAAACATTTTATGTAAATTCTTCTAACCTTTGACGTTTAGTTCTCTTAACATGTTACGTTCATTATCCCAACCTTTGTCGTTAGTTCTTCTAAGCACCAACCTAAATTCTCCCCATAATTCTCCTTTGTTGCTATAATAAAACAAGCAACCCGGTCTCAGAGAAAGACGTATAATACTATACGTCCTTCAAGATGTGGCTACTATACATTAGGGCAGGGGTACTCAACTCTTACCCTACGAGGTCCGGAACCTGCTGGTTTTCTGTTCTACCTGATAATTAATTGCATCCACCTGGTGTCCCAGGTCTAAATCAGTCCCTGATTAGAGGGAAACAATAAAAAAAACTGTTGAACGGCTTCAAGGTCCAGAATTGAGTTTGAGGGTTATACGTCGTTCTAATTCGAATGATATTGTTTGACCACTATTTTTTTCGTAATGTAACCTAACGTAATGTAATATATCATACTAAATGGAGGGAACAATGTACATATGAAATCCTATGAATTGCCCTGAGACTAGGTTGAAAAGTTAATTTGAATGAATTAGATGCATTTCAAATGTATGGATAAATTGTGTGTGGTTCAGACTCTCAGCTTTACTACAGATGATAATGACACATCTTATTCAGTTTCTCCAAACTTGTAGCAATAAACCTTTCAGACGAAGACATATTGACAAATGTTCTACATATCCCTTTCTCAAAACGAATGGTTTTGTTTCAGCCCTAAATCATTTCCTCCCTCGTCCTCTTGTCTGGTGTTCAACCATCCATGTAATTTACAGTCCCTCTCAGTGACAGTAGGTTGGTTCTCGGTCCAGTCACCTAAGTGGGTTAAGTGGGTTGACAGATTGGGTTCTGGACCGTATGGTGATTTTCCCCTCTCTCTCTTTCTTCTCCAGGACGCAGCAGCCAGCTACGATTTCAATGACAACGACCCTGACCCCTTCCCCAGATACGACTCCACCAATGAGAACAAGTAAATTGTCTATTTATTTTAGGGATATACCTGCTATCATGTCTTTTTGTGACATATGGGAGAAGTGTGTAGCATTTTTCACACACATTTGTCTCTTTTCAAATCATAATTTGTATATTCATTATTTACATGCATAGGTCTATTACTTATGTGGGCTATGTAGCATAGTAGCCAATCAAAATTATCATGACATCCAGTACTAATGTAGAATACATGTTCCTTATTGATCGGGTCCCATGCAGTCTGGTGACCACTATAAAACCCATGTAATCCTGTTCCTAGTTACAGCATCCTCACTGTCTATTACACAACTAGATAATAAGGGGAGCAGCCAGCTATCCCGCTTACAGTAACACCCGAACACACACAGGTCACACCGGCTGGAAATGGGCATATCTGGCACACACAGATGTTCCAACTGGAGCTGTTGATGTAACAACAGTCATATTGATAAGGTTTCTCGTTGATTCCCAAGCAATCTATAGATTTATAATTTGTCTACATTTAACGTAAAATACAGTATTTATTGTAGTACCTACAGATTGTAGGCTGGGAGCTATATATGTTGGACTGTAGGTTAGTGTTTGGGTCAGTAAAAGAAGTGGGCCAGAATGACACTCAGGCTATCGACTAAATCTTTCCAGTCTATCTCCCATTGTGCTTGTTAGCGTAAGCTTGTGGTAGTTCCCATAGATGTAGAATTACAGAATTACAGATAGTAGAATTATAGTAATTCTATTTCTATGTGTATATCCAACCATAGCAACTCAAAGCAGTCCATTTTACCTCTGACAAAATGCCACCGTCGGAATCTGAGGGAGAGAGAGAAAATGTTAAAAGCACACAGAAAACCTCTTACTAAAACCCTCTCAATGGTTCAATGCTCTCTCGCTCTCTCTATCTCTCTCTCTCTCTTGTCTCACAGACAATACCTGTAAATGATGACTCACTCTATGCCAGCTGTGAGGGTTACACAAACACACACACACACTCAGCCCCCCTCCCCACCCATGTTAGTGCACTCTTTTGTTGTCAATGTACTCTGGTCACACTGTATAATTTAGACTCTAGCAGCAGGCTGTTTATTGTCTCCTATAAGCATGCCAAACGACATGAAACCAAAGGGCCTTCCATTTTTGGTTGACAAGATTCTCCCTCAATATCAATATTTTCAATGGCAAGCACATAATTAGATGAAGAATCTTACATAACCACATGGAAACTAATCGAGGGACACTGGCACTCTTTCAGAGGTTTTATGGTGGATCCAATCTGTTTTTGAGATTTTAAAGTTTACTGTAAGCAATATTGAGATTTACTATAAACCAGTTTGCAAAGGTTCCAGATCAGACTGGTTTATTCGGAATTCACTGCTACATGTATATGAAATTAGAACACAGAATATTAGAAATGAGAATTTTGTCAGTTAGGGCCAGTTTGTAAAGAAAAAAGCAGTTATGTTTAGTTGTAAGTGTGTGTTCTGTTTCTGTATGTACTCAGGCATGGAACCAGGTGTGCCGGTGAGATCGCCATGCAGGCAGATAACAATAAATGTGGAGTCGGGGTGGCGTACAACTCCAAGGTTGGAGGTAAGAGATGTAACTAGCAACGTGCATGCCTTGCCCACCTGATGATCTCTCTTTTTCTGCCATCTATTTCTGTGTTTGAGGGGTGCAAAATCCCCTTGTCACTTAAATATCACTAGATTAATTGCTTGAGTTTTACTCTGGCGACTCCTTCCCACTCTTGCTTGTGCCATTCGTTTTTTTCTGTTAACGTAACAACCACGGAAACGTTTGTAATGGCGTGTCAAACAATCTCCAGTAAAGGCTGAAATGGGCTCTATGGAATACATTGGCTGTAGCTCAGCTGGTAGAGCACGGCGCTTGTAACGCCAAGGTAGTGGGTTCAATCCCCGGGACCACCCATACACAAAAATGTATGCACGCATGACTGTAAGTCACTTTGGATAAAAGCGTCTGCTAAATGGCATATTATTATTATTATATTATTATAAGAACGTTAACGCTTCGTCGGGATTTAACACGCCATCTCAACACTTACATCACAAGAAAGAGAAGGAAGATTTTTTGTACAATTGATGAAAAGTAATGATTTAATACATATGAATTTATTACAAATTAGATGTGCTGAAATGAAAGCAACTTCCGAAAAAGAACACTCAGATTATAGTGAAATTATGTCTGATCTCGCAAACAATGTAAAGTACAGTATGTACAGATAGGGGTTATCTAGAGCCAAGCGTTTTGATTTTAAATCATGTGGGTATCCTTCTCTTATGCAAGAGAACATGACAACAACAGTAGTGAATGAATCATTAATGAGGCAGTCTAGACAGCACAGGTGAGCGCAGGTAGGCCTAGACAGAGCACGTGTTTGGTGGTTGCAGGCAACTTGCAGTTCTGTTCAACTCCTTTATATGAATTTATTCATGTGTGCAAATACACCCAGTGAGGCAAATGAGGCAGATATAATTTTCTTTATTTTATCACAAAGTATTACAAAAATACCTGATATACTAAGAAAATGTATACATGACTGCATAATAAGAATAAATTGTGACATTTTACAATAAATTGAATACCCGAATTCCCACCAAAATGCCTCAACTTATTTATTATTTGTCCGTACTATAATTCAGGCAATATCTGAGGGATTAAAACAATTCTAAAAGTTTGGAGTATCTTCATTCATTGTCCAACTGTTTCATTTAGAATAGCATTTTAACAATTTCAAAGACTGTTGCTAATGTAACGCAAGCACACTTGTGTGTGTATGTGTGTGTGTGTGTGTGTGTGTGTGTGTGTGCCTGTTATCGAACGTGAGCCAGATAGCATATGATAGCAATATGTGTAGAATTACAGGAAATTAGCTTTAAAACTGCACATTTTTCTCTTAACCTCAGGAATTACTTTTAGAATAGCATTATAAAACGGGTACAAATTCTATATATATTTTTTTTTTATGGGGGTGGGGGCCCCCCAGAGGTTGGTGCTCCGGGGCCCCAAATGCTGTAGTCCGGCCCTGTGTGCGTACATTGTTTGTGTGACCCAGACAACAGCTGGAAGATGTCCTGGTGGCGGCCTACTTTTTTGAGCGGATGATTACGCAATACCACTTAACCAAATGACTGAGCAACAATTGGGCATCTGTTCCTCACTGGGGCTAAAACATAGCCAGAGAGGAGGCAAATCATATGTAATATTAAAATGAGAAAATCTATTTGGGGGCACAAGACCACTCTACTTGCGAAGTATGACTTAAAACATTTCAACTACAGTCAAATAACTATTTGCATCATGTTGACCCTGCAGGGATCCGCATGTTGGACGGTATCGTGACGGACGCCATCGAGGCCAGTTCTATTGGCTTCAACCCAGACCATGTGGACATCTACAGTGCCAGCTGGGGACCCAATGACGATGGCAAGACGGTGGAGGGCCCCGGTCGCCTGGCGTCAAAGGCCTTTGAGTACGGCATCCAGAAGGTAACACACCACAGTCCTCTCTTTTTTACCCCCTCAAAAAACAGCATCACATGAATCAACATCATGTTATTCTGTTGTGTCACCAAGTTCATATTCATTGTAAAATTGACCGTTCAACAAACAGCACTCAACACATAATGACTTTTATTTATAAATAAGGTTCAGAAAGGAAACACCATTTATTAGAAAAGATGAACATTAGAATACATTAGGACTTGGCAATTGGCTCTATAGCTCACTGCCAGAGCAAAGTGTCAAACATAATAAAATAACTACAGGCAGTGAGCACAGTATGCCATACCAATCACGCTGCAGGAAGAAAAACAAAACCAAACAGGTGGAGGCTGTGGTAGTGGTGGGTAGCAAGAACAAGCAAACGCATACTAGCAGTAGCAGAAAGCAGGAGCAAAGCATGTGTTCAGAACCCGGTCAGCTTAAATAGAATGCCATATTAAGGTAGGAAGTGTTATTAACTTCTGATTGGTGCAATCTCAGCTGATAAATATACACAGGTTTCCCTTCTGAACCGGCTTCGCTTTATAGCTCAAATGATTATTACATCATGATTATTCCACTTTTACCCACAAAGCAGTCAAAACAAATGGCCTATCTAAATACATTGAAATTGGGTAAAAAGGGAAGATAGACAAGGGATCTAAGCTAAAGGCTACAGAAAAAACAAACTTAACACTAACTCCTCACCCGTCTCCTTCCCCTCAGGGCCGCGGCGGGAAGGGCTCCATCTTTGTGTGGGCATCGGGGAACGGGGGCCGCCAGGGGGACAACTGCGACTGTGACGGCTACACGGACAGCATCTACACGATCTCCATCAGCAGTGCCTCCCAGCAGGGCCTGTCTCCCTGGTACGCTGAGAAGTGCTCCTCCACCCTGGCCACCGCTTACAGCAGCGGAGACTACACCGACCAGAGAATAGTGAGTAAAAGTGACCCCCACACCACACCACTGGATAGTGGAGATTTGTATTGTGTTATGTTTTGTTACATAGTTTTTTTAACTTGACTTAACTTTTATTTACTGTAACTGTGGTTTCTTTGTTTACTTCTGTGTCCCTGCAGACCAGTGCTGATTTGCATAATGAATGCACCGAGACACACACGGGAACCTCCGCCTCCGCCCCACTGGCTGCTGGGATATTTGCCCTGGCACTGGAACAGAAGTAAGGCAACAATCTTGACATAAACAATGTCAATGGAATATGTATATAGGACTTCCTTTCGTAATGAAATATGTGTTTAGGACTTCCTGTCATAATGAAATATGTGTTTAGGACTTCCTGTCTGACTTCTTATTTGTCCATCCCCACTAACCCCTCCCCCCAGCCCTGAGCTGACGTGGAGGGATCTGCAGCACTTGGTGGTGTGGACTTCTGAGTTCGACCCGCTGGCCAACAACCCCGGCTGGAAGAGGAACGGGGCAGGCCTGATGGTCAACAGTCGTTTTGGATTCGGCCTGCTCAACGCTAAGGCCCTGGTGGACCTGGCCGACCCGGCCACCTGGAAGCACGTCCCCGAGAAGAAGCAGTGCATCATCAGGGACGACTCCTTCCAGCCCAGGTACAAATACACTGCAGTAGTCTAGTAGATCAGAAACTACACTGCAGTAGTCTAGTAGATCAGAAACATCTAATCCTCCTGACATAACATACTGTTCAGTTTAGACTAATTCTGGTGGGCAAGCAAACTTCTAGTGTACCAGTAATTCCATTATGGACAGAGTCCCGTGTCCTAAGATGTCCTTGTGTTTTGGCTCCTCTATTGACGCAGATCAAGAGCTCAATGATTAGACGCTATCTGTAGTTTGACTACGGAACATATGGAACAATATAACAACAGTCAAATGAAAGCTAGAGATTTGTGTTGGCTCAAGTGTGTTTTTGTGTATTTCATGTTTATGTGTATGTGCATACGTGCACATGGTCCGTAATGGTAGGAAAGCTGGGATTCCAGCTTAGATTTCTGTAACGGAGGGCTCAAACAATCTTTGGAGCAATCTTCTATTTGCTAAATCACTTTAGGTTTTTAGGCTTTAGGAAAGCTAAGGCTAGCTGGTAATATTGCAAAGCCAACATTTATCTCCAGACTAAATCTGTTCCGGAGGAAGGGATTTTTTTATCTGAGCAGATGTTTTGTTTACCTTCCTTTCGGATTAACTGCCTCAGGATATGTACAATAGGTTAGCCACCAGGGCTAGGCTACATCATCCAAATTACCTGTCACGATCGTTTAAAGACTGGTTGAACCAAGGCGCAGCGTGATAAGCGTACATGTTTATTTAAGTACTGAACACACGACAAAACAACAAAACAAACGATACGTGAAGTCTCAAGGTACACACTACAAACCTATACAGAACAAGATCCCACAACTAACTGGTGCCAACAGGCTGCCTAAGTATGGTCCCCAATCAGAGACAACGAGCTACAGCTGCCTCTGATTGGGAACCACCCTGGCCAACATAGATCTAAACGATCTAGAAGCTAAACATAGAAAAACATAACATAGAAACTACACACCTGGCTCAACATTTAAGAGTCCCCCCCCCCCCCCAAAGGTGCGGACTCCGACCGCGCAACCTAAACATAACAGGGTAGGGGCCGGGTGGGCATTCCGCCTATCCTCTGCCTCCCTGTTGCGCCACTGGTCTGGTCTGGACCTCGGCGCGCTGATTCCCCTCTCCTTCCTCCCACGACGTACCAAGTCCTGTCTGGACCCTGCTGTGGGAGACCCCGAACCTGGAGAGGGGCTGACGTCTGGGTCTGGACTGGCACCGCTGACTGGAGCTGGACCCGACGATGGTGGATCGAACTACACAGACTCCGGACTGGAGCCGCTGACCGGAGCTGGACTGGGCACCGGTGGAGCGGACTTCTCTGGCTCCGGAGTGGAGCGGCTGACCGGAGCTGGACTGGACCCCGGTGGAGCGGATTGCTCTAGCTCCGGAGTGGATCCGCTGACTGGAGTTGGACCGGACCCCGGTGGAGCGGATTGCTCTGGCTCCGGAGTGGAGCAGCTGACCTGTGGAACAGGCACGGGCCGTGCCGGACTGGACACACGCACCACTGGCTTGGTGCGGGGAGCAGGAACGGGCCGGACCGGGGTGACGACGCGCACCACTGGCTTGGTGCGGGGAGCAGGAACGGGCCGGACCGGGCTGACGATGCGCACCACTGGCTTGGTGCGAGGGACAGGAACAGGCCGGACCGGGCTGGCGACGCGCACCACTGGCTTGGTGCGGGGAGCAGGAACGGGCCGGACCGGGCTGGGAACACGCACCACTGGCTTGGTGCCGGGAGCAGGAACAGGCCAGGCCGGACTGGGAACACGCACCATTGGCTTGGTGCGGGGAGCAGGAACGGGCCGGGCCGAACTGGGAACACGCACCACTGGCTTGATGCGGGGAGCAGGAACGGGCCGGGCCGGACTGGGGACACGCACCACTGCCTTGGTGCGGGGAGCAGGTACGGGCCGGGCCGGACTGGGAACACGCACCACTGGCTTGGTACGGGGAGCAGGTACGGGCTGTACCGGACTGTGGAGGCGGACTGGAGGTCTGGAGCGGAGAGCTGACACAACCCGTCCTGGCTGGATGCCTACTTCCACACAATATGTGTGAGGCATTAGCACAGGACATACGGGGCTGTGCACGCGTACTGGCGATACAGCACGTAGCACCGGCGCAGGATATACGGGACCGAGGAGCCGTACTGGAGACCACAAGCGTTGATCCGGCACACCCCGTCCTGGCTGAATGCCCATCTGCGTGGTGCTAGCACAGGACGTACAGGACTGTGCCGGAACACTCGCGGCACAGTACGTGGCTCCGCATAACACGGAGCCTGCCCAGTCACACGCTTCTTAGCATGAGTACGGGGAGTTGGCTCTGCTCTAACACTAGGCTCCGCCAACCACCCTTTTAGCCCCCCCAAAATTGTTTATTGGGGCTGTCTCTCGGGCTTCCTCCTCGGCCGGCACCCTCTGCGTTGCCGCTGCTCCTCTCTATAGCGCGCCTCCACAGTCTCCTCCCAAGGACGACGATCCATTCCGGCCTGAATCTCCTCCCAAGTCCAGGATCCCTTCCCGTCCAGGATCTCCTCCCAGGTCCAGGCTGTCTGCTCCTGGACACAATTGCTTGGTCCTATTTTGGTGGGATCTTCTGTCACGATCGTTTAAAGACTGGTTGAACCAAGGCGCAGCGTGATAAGTGTACATGTTTATTTAAGTACTGAACACACAACAAAACAACAAAACAAACGATACGTGAAGTCTCAAGGTACACACTACAAACCTATACAGAACAAGATCCCACAACTAACTGGTGCCAACAGGCTGCCTAAGTATGGTCCCCAATCAGAGACAACTGATTGGGAACCACCCTGGCCAACATAGATCTAAACGATCTAGAAGCTAAACATAGAAAAACATAACATAGAAACTACACACCTGGCTCAACATTTAAGAGTCCCCAGAGCCAGGGCGTGACATGACCTTCATCTTAAAGGATAGGTTTGGTATTTTAGAACTTCCAGTTATATGGTTCCTTACCTGACAGTAGTTTACAGGCCAGGAGAGATTGTATTTCATGGTTAGGATTTCCTTATACAGCCACTACTAGCCTCCGCTATCCCAAAAAATCTATGGGAGAGATGAGGACAACTGCACAATGTTCAAAATTTAAATGCCAAATCAACTGATATCAACTCAATGATTTGGTCACCTTTACATTTTTTAAAGGTCCAATGCAGCCATTTTTATCTCAATATCAAATAATTTCTGAGTAACAATTAAGTACCTTACTGTGATTGTTTTCAATTAAAACAAAAATAGCTTCTTAGCAAAGAGCAATTTCTCATGCAAGAATTTTGCTTGAACTGTCTGGGAGTGGTCTGAGTGGGGAGGGGAAAACGGACAACTAGCTGTTATTGCCAGGGAGAGGTGTGGAACTCTCTTTCTTATTGGTCTATTAACTAATTTACCGCCTGGTGATATCACCAGACAGGCCAAAACTCCATCCCACCAAAACAGGCAGAAAGTTCAGGCGGTCTTTTCAAACAGCTCTTACAATAAAAGGGCAATATCATAACTTTCACAATTTCACAGTATTATTCCAACCTCAGTGTGGAAATATATATAAAACACAGGAAAATCATGTTTTTGACTGCTGTCACGTTGTATAATGATAGAAGACAGGCGCAGGAATACGTGATAGGGTTTTTTATTTCTCTACCCAACATAAGGTACGTCATGAAAAACGACAGGGACGAAGCCCAAAACAAACACGTATATATACAGTGGGGGAAGAAAGTATTTAGTCTGCCACCAATTGTGCAAGTTCTCCCACTTAAAAAGATGAGAGAGGCCAGTAATTTTCATCATAGGTACACGTCAACTATGACAGACAAAATGAGGAAAAGAAATCCAGAAAATCACATTGTAGGATTTTTAATGAATTTATTTGCAAATTATGGTGGAAAATAAGTATTTGGTCAATAACAAAAGTTTCTCAATACTTTGTTATATATCCTTTGTTGGCAATGACACAGGTCAAACGTTTTCTGTAAGTCTTCACAAGGTTTTCACACACTGTTGCTGGTATTTTGGCCCATTCCTCCATGCAGATCTCCTCTAGAGCAGTGATGTTTTGGGGCTGTCGCTGGGCAACACAGACTTTCAACTCCCTCCAAAGATGTTCTATGGGGTTGAGATCTGGAGACTGGCTAGGCCACTCCAGGACCTTGAAATGCTTCTTACGAAGCCACTCCTTCGTTGCCCGGGCGGTGTGTTTGGGATCATTGACATGCTGAAAGACCCAGCCACGTTTCATCTTCAATGCCCTTGCTGATGGAAGGAGGTTTTCACTCAAAATCTCACGATACATGGCCCCATTCATTCTTTCCTTTACACGGATCAGTCGTCCTGGTCCCTTTGCAGAAAAACAGCCCCAAAGCATGATGTTTCCACCCCCATGCTTCACAGTAGGTATGGTGTTCTTTGGATGCAACTCAGCATTCTTTGTCCTCCAAACACGACGAGTTGAGTTTTTACCAAAAAGTTATATTTTGGTTTCATCTGACCATATGACATTCTCCCAATCCTCTTCTGGATCATCCAAATGCACTCTAGCAAACTTCAGACGGGCCTGGACATGTACTGGCTTAAGCAGGGGGACACGTCTGGCACTGCATGATTTGAGTCCCTGGCGGCGTAGTGTGTTACTGATGGTAGGCTTTGTTACTTTGGTCCCAGCTCTCTGCAGGTCATTCACTAGGTCCCCCCGTGTGGTTCTGGGATTTTTGCTCACCGTTCTTGTGATCATTTTGACCCCACGGGGTGAGATCTTGCGTGGAGCCCCAGATCGAGGGAGATTATCAGTGGTCTTGTATGTCTTCCATTTCCTAATAATTGCTCCCACAGTTGATTTCTTCCAACCAAGCTGCTTACCTATTGCAGATTCAGTCTTCCCAGCCTGGTGCAGGTCTACAATTTTGTTTCTGGTGTCCTTTGACAGCTCTTTGGTCTTGGCCATAGTGGAGTTTGGAGTGTGACTGTTTGAGGTTGTGGACAGGTGTCTTTTATACTGAT